CCCCTTTCCTTTTCCCTTTCTATATTAGTTTTGTTTTTTTGTTTATCTTATGTGTGGAGAGGGGGTGAGAATGTGGAGGTCAGAGGATAATTGGGAGGAAGTGGTTTCTCCTTCCATCTTGTAAGTCCCAGGACCAAACAGGTTGTCAGCCTTGCTAACAAGTGACTTTATCTGCCAAACCATCTCACTAGCCTCTCATCTTCTCTTTTGTCAATCTAGACCCCCAACCCATGGAGTAAAGGTGAGTCTTCCTCAGTTTCATAGACACACTCAGAGATGTTTCCGTGGCCATTCTGAACCCGTCCAGTTGAGAAACAAAGAGTAAACAGGGCTGGGGATGTATGGAAGTCGCTAGAGTGATTGCTTGCCTTGCCCGCAGATGGCCCTGGATCATATAACCCTATCACTACATAAACTATAATTCCAGGGTTTGAAAGGTGGAGGGAGAAGGATCAGGACTTCAAGGTCATCCTCAGCTACATACAGAATCCAAGGCAAGCCTGGGCTACATGAGATCCCCCCCCCTTTTTTTAAATCACATTTTTGAAAAGTCTAAGACAATTATGCTAAAATTGTAGTTAACTTTAAATACGTCCTCAAATTCTTCAGGATTGTGTCCTAGGAAGGTAAATGTTAATAACATACTCTGCCACCAGGTGGTGATCTTGGTATCCCATGATCCTCAAAGGCCCTTGGAAAACAGCTTGTTTAAACCTGCAAACCTGTTCTCTGTGGATCACACCAGGCTCAGAAGATGCTGGAAGCGTCTGTGTATTCGTAAAGACATACTGCGTTTTTTTCCAGAAGCTTCTCATGAGTCACCCAGGTTTGCTTTTGGTAGACACAGAGTGGGCCCCGAAATTCTATTTATTTATTTATTTATTTATTTATTTATTTATTTATTTGAGACAGAGTCTTACTAAGGAGCCTTGGCTGGCCTAATACTCCTTATGTAGCCCAGACTGGCCTCACAGTAATCCCCCTGCCTTAGCCTCCTAGGTGCTGTGATGACAGGGATGTGCCACCATGGCCAGCTTCTGGCTTTTTGATAAGTATAAGTTGCTGTGGTTATGTCTCAAAGTGGTCCCTGCCACTCTGTCTTTCCTTGTCCCAACTGCAGCTACCCACCCCCACCCCATCTGGCCACTTCCATCTGGCACTGGTTCTACTAGTTTGACAATCCTGGGCTGTAAGCAGGCCTGGGGCTTGAACTCACCAAGTGTTCAGTGGCCTCTGCCTTTGCTAAGGTGGATGTAGTTTGAGTGATTCAAGTACTGAAGCATGGGGATGATATTAAGAAGTGGTGGGGTCTGGTGAGGGCTGTTTAGATCATTGCAGGTACTGAGCTCTGAAGGAGTTAAAGTAGTTCTCGTGGGACCCTAATGTAGTCCTCAAGAGAATAACTGTGGGCTGGAGAGATGTGTCAGATGTTATGAGCACTTCCTGCTGTTTCAGGGGACCTGACTTCAGTTCCTAGCACCCACATTGGGTAGCACACAATTGTCTGTAGGTCCATTACCAAGGAGTTTGATGCTCTTTGATGGCCTCCACAGGCATCCATAAACACATGGCACAGGAAAACACTTTAATAAAAATAATACGAATTTTAGCAGGGTTTTGGTGGCGCACGCCTTTAATCCCAGCACTTGGGAGGCAGAGGCAGGCAGATCTCTGTGAGTTTGAGACCAGCCTGGTCAACAGAGCAAGTTCCAGGACAGTTTCTAAAGCTTCACAGAGAAACCCTGTCTCAAAAAAAAAAAAAAAAAAAAAAAAAAAAAAGTTGAGGGCTGGAAAGATGGCAAGCCTGGTGCCCTGAGTTCAACCCCCGAGCCCCATGTCAAAGTAGAAGTAGAGAAACAATGCCATAAAGTTGTTCTCTGGCCTCCAGATAGACACAATGACACGTGTACAACCTTACCCCCGACAGATATCACACACAACACACATATACACATCACACACATGTGCATACACATAATACAAACACCTGACTCCAGGAAGGAGGAGACGCACCAGTCACATGAGTGAGGTACGGTCTCTGCTAAAGCTGCAAGAGGCTGAGCCTGGAGCCCAGCCTCTCTGGGTGCCCTGAACCGTCCCCTCTAGAGCAGCAATTCTCAACCTTCCTAATGCTGCAACCCTCAATCATAAAATTGTTTTCATTGCTACTTCATAACGGCAATCTTGCTACTGTTATGAATCATAATTCACAGATCTGTGTTCCCTGGTGTCCTAGGCAACCCTGTGAAAGGGTCATTCGACCCAAAGGGGTCGTGAGCGACAGGTTGAGAACCACGACTCTGGAGGCAGAAGCCCCCTCCTTGTAGCTCCCCCACTTCTCCTTGGACTCTGTTGGGTTTGTGCATGTGGCTGGAGGGGCAGTAAGATGCTCAGGGGAAAAGACCAGCGGGTGGCTTCTGAATGAAGAGCCAGCCCTGTCTGGCTCAAGTCTGTACTTTCAGATCCTTCCTGAAGAAGCTGAGCTCCAAATGTGCAGAGAGGATGGACCCAAAGTATGGACCCAAAGTACTCCAGGGAGAAGTTTCAGGGTAAAATACAGAAAGTGAGGGCCAGGGAGATGGCTCAGTGGTAGCCAAAAGCAACTCGGGGAAGGGAAGAGTTCGTCTCACCTTCTACTGTCAGGGGCTCAAGGAGGGAACCTGGAGGCAGGAACCAATCAGAGACGGAGGAGGAGCAAGGAGCGCTGCTTATGGGCTTGTTCCTCATGGCTTGCTCAGCTCGCTTTTCACTCAACCCAGGACCACCGGCCCACAATGGCCGGGCGGGCCCTCCCACATCAATCACCAGGCGCTTGCTAAGTTTGATACTTGGGACCCACATGGTAGAAAGAAAACTCTTGAATGTTGTCCTCTGATTTCTACCTAGGCACTGTGGTGTGTGCATGAACACACACACACACACACACACACACACACACACACACACACTAAAAAAAACAAACAAAAAAAACAAACAATAACAACAACAAAAAAACTTGTTCTTTTGTCAACTTTTCTTCTAAAACTAACCTTACCAGAGAAGCTACCAGCAAAATAAGCTGGTCTTGGCACAGGACACACTGACTCTTATTGCTTGGCTTTGAAATGGGCCTCTTGTTTAGCTCAGGTTAGCTATATAGCCAAGGTTGACCTGGAACTTCTGACCACCTGCCTCTACTTTCCCAGTACTAGAAGTACAGGTGTCTGCCATCATACCGGGTATCTTAGTTTCATTCCTATCGCTCTGAGAAAATACTCTGATGTGGGAGAGCACTTGGAGAGATGGCTCAGCGGTTAGGAGCACTTGTTCTTGCAGAGGATCTGGGTTCAGTTCCCAGCACCCACGTGGCAGCTCACAACTGCCTATAATTTCAGTTCAAGGGGATTTGATGCCCTCCTCTGACCTCCTGGGGGACCAGGCACACACACATGGTACACATATACATATACATACACATATACATATACATATACATATACATATACATATACATATACATGCAGGCTAAGCACTCATATACATAAAATAAATAAATCTTAAAAAAATTAAAATACCCAACAAAAGCAATATGGGGGATAAAAGGGATTTATTTCATCTCACAGTTGCAGGCTACAGTCCATCACAGTCGAGAAGTCACAGTGGCAAGAGCTTGAAGTAGCTAGTCACATCCGTGGTCAAGAGCAGAGAGAATGAGTGTATGTGTGCTTAGCTGGCTTTCTCTACCCTTCTGTAGTCCAGGGGTGTGAACCTGGGAATGGTGTTACCCACTTTCAGACTGGGTCTTTCCACATAGATGAAGGCAATCAAAACAATCCCTACAAACATGCTCACAGGCCAGTTTTGATTCCCAGGGGGTTCTAGGTTGTCAAGTTGACAAGGACAAGAAACCTTCACACCTCGGTTTGTGCAGTGGGGGAGGGGTGGGAGTGGGGTGGGTATAGAACCCAGAACTTCCAAAAGTCTGTAAAGTTGTTTTCTGTGTGTATTTGATCCTTGGAGAATTATTTTTCCAAGTATTCATTGGGCTAATCGCTGCCTAATTACCTCCTGATCTAGTGCATGCCAGGCAAGCACTCTACCAACTGAGCCAATCCCCAGCCCGGGACACACTTCCAGTCAGTATAGGGCAGGAGGATCTTCTAGAGAGGGCATCCAGTTCAGGCTCACTTCCTTTTCCTGGGACCCTGCAGAGGTCCTGACAGTGGGGAGAGTTTCCCTCATGTTGCAAACTTTAGTCCCAACAGCACAAGGCTGAAGGAGGGAGTGTGGGCATACCAGAAACTAATGAAACAGTTGCTGGCACCACACCAGACAGCCTGTGCCAAGATAGTTCAGGAAAACCACGCCCAGACCAGGACGAAGTAAGGCCCCAACCAGAGACCTTTTCCTAAAAACCAATAAACACTTGGAAAAAAAATAATCTGCAAAGGGTGAAACATATGCAGAAAATAATCTCACAGAAAACATTCCATGTGTTGGCTTTTGAAATAAACTCATCAATAACTTCAGCTCTGTTCTGACCATTCAATGCGGAGGAGGAGAAAGTGAGAACTGCATGGAAGAAGGAAGGGAAAGGAGAAGAGGCAGGAAATGAATGAAAGATGGTCCAGCCTGGGCTACATAATGAATTTCAAGTCCAGCCCAGCCTGGACTAATGAACTACACACAGTGAGACCCCATCTCAAAATAAAATAAAATGGAATAGAATAAAATAAAGACAAAATGAAAAACAAGAAAGCGTGATGGAGGCCGGGAAGACAGGGAAGTTAGGACAGTGCTTGCCTTGCAAGCATGAGAACCCCGAGCTGGAGCCCACAACAGTGCCAGGAATCCAGCCGCCCTTGACCTTTGGTCTATGTGAGGCTCCACCCACAGAGCAGACAGAACAGCTTGGTTCTGACACCAGAAGCAGCCGGAGTCCCTTAGGGCTACAATTATTCTACTGGCATGTGGTCCGTCTCAGAAGATGACACTTCACAGATCGCTGAAGAGTAAAAATCAATTTTATTTAATACAACACCCCTCAGGGGCCCTGCAGCTGGATGGCTGAGGCAAACAGGGAAGATGATGTTTAGATATGAATGTTCCACAGCAACACGGAGGCAGCTCCCATCCCCCACTCAGGCCACCCTTGGAAAACAGCCAGGGACCTCAGGAGACCATTTCTTTAGCAGGGAATAAATAAAGAAAAATTAGTGGGGAAAGTACACATTTCCTTTTACTATTAAAAGAAAAAAAAAAAAAAACTCCATTTGCTGTAGCCAATCATTTCTCCTCTTTAGGCCTGCAGCAAGGGAGAGGAAAAGAAAGACCTGGAAATCAGTTAAAGGACTTCTGTGCTGGCTTGTCCAGTCTAGCTGTGGCATCGCCTGCCTGTGGCTTGCCTTCAAGTTGCTGCTTCACAGGCACTGCAGCCAGTCAGCTGCCCACCCCCATCCCTGTTCGTGAGTGAAGTCACCATACAGGCGACAGGTGACTGTCTGAGCAGCACTGTATATGTCCAAAGAACAAGGCCAGCCCAGAAGGAAAAAGAAAGACAGAAAGAAAACAAAACAAAAATTCTAACCCCGGAGTCCAGACCATTCGCTAAAAGTAACTGACTACAGGACAAAAACAGGCTTCTGTGTAGGAGGCACGTGAAAAAGCACGTTGTCTCTCTGAGATGTGGTATTTGACCTTCAAAAAATTCCAGAGGTTTGTTCACCCCAACCTCCTCTCACTCTTCCAAATTGCAAGGATGCTCCAGCTTGGAAGAATGATTTGGCTGGCCACTAAACTGCCCCGCTGATTCTCTTTATACCCAACATTAATAAGGTAAGAGATTTAAGAATGGATGGCTTGGCCTGAAGAAATGCTACTTTCAGTGTGGGCAGGGCCGGTTCCTAAATAAGTGCACAGGACTCTTGGAATATGGGAATCGGCTGCTCTTCTTGGGACGTGAATGTTCTCCCAGGCACAGGCACCTGTCTTGGTTGTCTTAAGTTCCATCAAGGGAGTTTCCCGTTCTCTGTAGGATAGAAGACAGGGCAAGTTAGGCCACACCCTCAGGACTAGAGAGTATCCTGGAGAAGAGAGTACAGCAGAAGAGAACTGCACAGGCATTGGGGATTGGGTCCATGGGTACAGTGTGTGTCAAGCATGCAAGAGGCCCTAGGCTCCACCACCAGCACCACATGTCTGTAATCCCAGCACCCAGGAGGTGAAGGCAGGAGGATCACAAGTTCAAAGTCCAGTTCTATGCTAGACTGGGATACATGGAGATCTTGATTCAAACAAAAACACTGGAAGCTTTGCCAGCATCCTCTGGGAACCCAACTTCTGGGGCAGCAGTTGTCCCAACCCCTCTTCTGTTCTCTCCATGACTGCTCTGTAGGAGCTGCTGTCTCCACCCCTGAATTCTCTCTGCACATCATTATCAGGCCAGTACATCAAGTACCCACGTGCACCCGGTGTGTCGTCCCATAGGTGCTGCACAGGGAGGAACTATCAGGTACAAAAGAGCGCACATCTGGCTCCAGCTAGGACCTCAGGACCTCTAGCTAACACAGACACCCTCTCCAGTCTGCCTTTGTTCTGTTTTTGGTTTTGAGACAGAAACTCACTCTATAGCCTGGACCAGTCTGAGGCTCTCAGTGGTCCTCTAGCCTTAGCCTTCCCAGGGTTGGGATTATGGGTGTCAGTCACCAGGACATCTAAGGTCCTTAGATCAGCCTTTTAATTAAAAACAAACAAACAAACAAACAAACAAACAAAAACTTGGCTAGGCATGGTAGCGCATGCCTTTGAGCCCAGCACTCAGCTGGTAGTAGCAGGTGGATCTTTGTGAGTTCAAGGCCATCCTGCTCTACATAGCCTGTAATTCCAGCTCTGAGGGGAGCACAGACTGCTAGGGCTTTCTGGCTTCCAGCATAGTGAAAAATATGTTCACCCAGGTTCAGGGAGAGACCCTGCTTCAAAGGAATAGGGAGGTGGTATAAATAACACCTACTACCCTCTTAGCCTGCACACACACACACACACACACACACACACACACACACACACACACACACAAATCCTTAAAAAAAAAGTTCTAGAGAGCTAATGAAATGGCTCAGTGGGTCAAGGTGCTCATTGCCAAGGCTGATAAACCAAGTTCAATCCTGAGACCCAGAGGGTTGAAGGAGAGAACCACCACCCAGAAGTTGTCCTTTGATTCTTGCATGCTTGCATATATGCACAAACACATAATAAGAATTTAAGTTTATGGCTGGAGAGATGGCTCAGTGGTTAAGAGCACTGACTGTTCTTCCAGAGGTCCTGAGTTCAATTCCCAGCAATCACATGGTGGCTCACAACCTTGAATGAGATCTTGTGCCCTCTGCTGGCGTGCAGGCAGAAGACTGTATACATAACAAATAAATAAAATGTTTAAAACAAAGAATTTAAGTTTAAGGAAAAAAATTCTGGAGACCAATTGTGGTGTCAGTTGTATAACAATATGAAGGTACCTCAGGCAACTGAAGTCACTTTTTATTTTTTAAGTGCTGGTGAAAGAACCTCACATTGCTAGGCAATGTGACTCCGTCACTGAGCCACAACCCCAGCTCTTTAAAATAGTACAGTGGTTAATTTTGGGTTGTGTATGTTTTACTATAATAAAAAAAATTAGGGAAAAAAAAAAGCTAAGCATGCTTTTTTTAAGCATGCTTATAGTCCAGCACTCAGGAATGTCAAGAGTTCAAGGTCATTCTCAGCTATATAGACAGCTTCTGGCTAACCTGGGATGTCCCAGACAAGACCCTGTCTCAAAATAACAATAATCAGGGCTCCAAATGGTAGCTCAAGTCACCCACTCACTTCCTGGTACCTGGACCCTTATCTGACCTGGCACTGATCTCTACTCTGCCCCAAGGATTTCATATTTCATCAACAACTTTGTTTTCTGTTTTGTTTGTTTGTTTTTCAAGACAGGGTTTCTCTGTATTGCTTTGGAGCCTGTCCTGGAACCCACTTTTATATGGCTCGTGGGGATTTCAATTCAGGTCCTCACACTTGTGCAAGTACTTTGACCTGCTGAGCCACGTCCCCACCCTCTACCAACTACTGACCAACAACACTGCTATGAAGTAGTCTGGAGGCAGCAAGGGCATCAGGTACTGAGCAGAGAGTGGGTCACAGAAGCGACTTGAACTGACTTTAAGGATTTTTGTAAACTTGAAGGGCAAAAGGGCTGGGGATGCTGGGAGATGTGGGAGCAGAGAACCCTTGAGAATGGAGAGCCTCAGGGAACAGGAAACAACAGAGCCCGCTGTTCTGAACCCTCCGTGGACACAGGACACCGTGCTGCAAGTAGAACTCACAGAGGTGCGAGCACAAAACGTGCTGGCATCTTGGGAACCTGATGGCCAGACTGCCTCGCTTCCTGAAGGGGGAGCTGAGATAGTCTGTCTCCATTTTGTTTTGCTGGGTCTGGGGCTTCTAGAACACGATGCAGATCTGGGAGGCCCAGCTAGAAGGCCAAGGCTCCAGCTCCTGCTTTGCCAGGAGAGAACTTCACAAATGGGCCAAGAAAGCTGTGTGGCCCCAGAAGGCTGGAGGCTTGCCAGTGCTGGCAGCTGCCCTCTGCCATTTCCTCCACTCTCCCAGAGAAGGGGGACGTGATCCTCGTGTCCAGGCTCTCTGTAGGCTCCAGACCAAGTCTCTCCCCAGACGCCTCTGTTCTCCTTCTCCTCAGGCAAACAACACTGTGGATAGTGCTGTAGGTCCAAATCCATAGACAGGATGGGCTGGGCGGGGGGCAGGGCCCCAGGAACTTTGCAGTGAAGGAACCCTGCAGTGAGGGCTGGCCTTGCTGTCAGCCACCCACGCTCAGCTATGGAGTTGCTCTGCTTTCTGCTCAGAATGTGGTGCCGAGTAACCCCAAAGGCCCTCTATTGTAACCCCAAAGGCCCTCTATTCCACCTCCTCCCCCTGGTCCCTAACTCCTGCTTCTAGAAAGCACCCAGTATTAGCACTTTCCATCTATGCGGGCTGTGCCAAGTGCTCACTTAATCCCTGCAGTATCTAGGTTGAGAAATCGCCCAGTTTATAGATGTGGAAATGGGGCTGGGCAAGATGGCTCAGGCCTGAGGACTGACAGGAGTTCTATCCCATAGTACAAGGGAATGGACTCTCGAAAGTTACCCTGACTGCATCATGGCACACACACACCCACACACACACACACACACACACACACACACACACACTCGAACACACACACAATTTTTTTTTTAATGATCACTGATCACAAAACAGAATCTTACAGATGAAGCACCTAGTTAGGGCAACTAAGGTTTGAATGTGGGTCTCCTATGCTTATACCAAGATTTTGCTTTGGTTGAATCCTAAGCCTTGAGTGTATTTCCAGTGTGTGTGTGTGTGGGGGGGGCATTTCAAAGACAAATAAAGTAAACTCTTAACCACATTCACTGATGCCAGCACTTGAGGAAGAGACGTTTAAAGAAGATAAGTGGTTTTCTATGATGGCTTGAGGTTTGCAAAGTGTCTCATTTAACCCTTAAGAAAATCCCAGTAGGCAGATGTTATTCTTGCTGTCACCATCCCTTACATCATCATTACCAACCAACACCATCACTGTCATCCCCATCCCTAGCATCCCCAACCCTACCAACACCGCCATTATCATCACCATCACCACCAACACTGTCATCATCATCACCATCATTACCGCCATCTCTACTTTATAGGTAGGGGTGCTTAGGCTCCAGGAAGTCACCCACAAGAAGTCTGTAGAACTGAAACCTCACTCCCCAACAGCCTCAATCCCACTTCTGGGGCAGGTCCTATCACAGCCCAGCCCTCTGCTGACCCTGGGGAGGCATTGTCTTGTTCCCAACCCCTAAGCGACAGGGTTCTTTTCAAAATCTAGAGACCTTCACAGGTCCAGATTCCACTTTTTTCTTTCAAGTACAGGCTGTTCCCTTCCACGTTATCTGTCTGCGTGGACCATGAGCACAATTTATAAACAAAGCAAAAATGGCAGAGGAAAAATGAAGTCAGAATGTGCCATTAAAGCAAGTCAAACAATACCAAGCCAGTAGCTGGCTAAGTGGCTGTCTCATTGTCCAGATATTTCCTCCAATATGTTTTCAGAAGCAACGACAGTTAAACAAGAGGGGAATGATCGCCAGGTTTGATTTCAGGAAGGAAGTCCCTCCCATTTCCCTGTTGGGCAATTCTGTTAATTTTCTTCTGACCCCACAGCTGCTTATTAGGGAAACTGCCTGCTTCTTTCATAAACAAAATCTATTTGCTTCAAGATTCAAAGCTCATTTTTCAACCACTGGGAACCCCTTAGTTCCCGCCAAATGGCTTTATGATTTGGGGGCAGGACTTAATAGCCCAAGCATTTGGAGCATCCTGGGACCAGAACAGACTTTGGGGTCTGAGGGAAAGCCACTCCCCCACTGGCCTGGAGTTCAGAGCCTTTGCCCAGAGAGGCTTTTTTTGGTGCAAGACAAAGTGAGTAACTTGGTTCGGCAGAGAGCTGATTGCCAGGGTGCAGCCCAGCCTTGGATGGCCACAGACTCCTGCAGCCATGCAGACAGCCACATGCAGAACTGGTTTTTATCATGGTCCTACACTGCTTATGGAGCAAAGTTGTCACTCAGCTCTCATGGAACAGTCATGTCACTTCTTAACATTGAGGCCAGAGCGCTGGCCAGGGCTTTGGAGACTTGAGCTCTATTCTTGGCTCTGTGTGATTCTGGGTTAAGCTGTTTTACCAAGCCAGGCCTCCGTTTCTTCATCTATAAAATAGGCCTCCTTACCCCTACCAATCCAACAGTGCTGTCAGAAGCCTAGGTGGGTGCAGGCTAGAAAAAGCCATTCATTTCGTTCCTCTTTTCCTCAAACGGATAACTTTCCTCCATACAAAGGTCAGCGCCTTCCTGTCTGTCACAAGCATAATGAGCTCTGTTTAACAAGAATTCAGACCCAGCAAAACAAAGGAAGCCAGGGGCCCACTGAAGGCTGCAGAGGTTTTGCTGGAAGTTTCTCCCAGACCCAAAAGACCAATTCAGAGGCAAGTTCCTCATTTTTGAAGATAATAGCTGCTCCGGTAACCCTGTGGGGCTGGGTGCCCACAGACAGTCTGGGAACCGGAAGGCAGTGGGTTCTGCATGGATTGAACTTAAACCCCTTCCTCTCCCTCCCTCCCTGCCTCCTTCCTTCCTTGTGTGTCCCTATGTGAGTGTGTGCATGTGTGAATCTATGTTCCTATGTATGTAGAGGCCAGAGGTCAATCTCAGATGTCATTTCTTAAGAACTGCTCATCCTTTTCCTTTCTTTCTTTCTTTCTTTCTTTCTTTCTTTCTTTCTTTCTTTCCACAGGGTCTCTTGTTAGTATCCAGGCATCTGTACTGGCCTGTCCTTGGGGGTTCTGACAGGATTCACCCTCAGCTGCAGCCACTAAGAGCCCCACCTGTGCACATTCACTATGTTCCCTTTTAAAAGAGCCCCGCCTACCTCCCATCCTCCTCTGTCTTTCTTTCTCTCCCTCTCTGTGTCCCCCCCCTCCCCCTTGAGCTCCCCCTCTCTCCTCTCTCTCCCCCTCTTTCATTTTTCCTCTCTCCTGCTGCTCCTGTCTCCCCCTTCCCTTTTCCCTTTTTATGATCCTCCCCCCACCAAAAAAAAAAAACCCAAAACACAACAGCAACAACAACAACAACAAAAAAAAACCCCTCTGCTTGAACACATGGCATCTTAAATTGTAACATCTCTCCACCGCCTCAAGCTCACCAAGTAGCCTTGACTGGCTGGTCAGCAGGCTGCAGGGATCTGCCTGTCTTCACCTCCCCAGGTCTGGGTTACAAGTGTCAGCCACTACACCTGAACTTTTCACTCTGTGTTTTAGGATGAAACTCAGATTGTTGTATAAACACTTTATCAGCTGAACTATCTCCCCATCCCCGCCTCTTCTTTCTCTTCTCTTCCTCCTTCCCCTCCCTCTCTCATCAGGGACTTGATTATGTAGCCCAACCTGGCCTTGAACTCAAACTCCTCTTTCAAGTTTGTATCGCTGGGCCTGAGACTCTGTCTTTGTTTGTTTGTTTGTTTGTTTGTTTTTCGAGACAGGGTTTCCCTGTGGCTTTGGAGGCTGTCCTGGAACTAGCTCTTGTAGACCAGGCTGGTCTCGAACTCACAGAGATCCACCTGCCTCTGCCTCCTGAGTGCTGGGTTTAAAGGCGTGTGCCACCACCGCCCTCTGAGACTCTGTCCTATTAAAAGAGCAGTAGGATTCCTGACAACGCTGGAGGATATCCAGGATTCCTCTCCCTATATAGACTGAGCGATGATGGTGTAAACAGGACAGAGAAGCAATCCTGGAGCTGCTGGTTTAGACTGTTAGAGGCCAGGGCGCCTGGTCTCAAACAGGCCATGTTAGCAGGAGGTGGTGGGGAGAATTAGTGGAAAGCAGGCCCTGGGCAAACTGGGAAATAGTTCACTGTTCCGTAGAACACTTTTGTAAAACAACAACAACAACAACAACAACAAAAGTCACCCTGCAGTCTCAGGTGGCCTCAAACTCTCACAACAAGTGTCAGTGTGCAATTCATGCATGAGCTACTAGCTGGCTCCACGGAGCATTTTTAACACCATGGGTATGAAGTGTGTACTTACAGAATATCTGTTTTCCACGACATCTGCAAAACAAAGACAGCAGAGTGGTGAGTGTGCAGGGCCTGGTGCAGCTTCACACCGGAGCTGAGGGAGGGGACGCTAGCGCAGAAGGGGTCTCAGGCCATCTGCTGATGGTCTTTTGTCCCTAGACAAGCTCCTGGGGATGTTCTAGGCCACGTGAAAGGCATGTAGAGGCCCTGGAATTTTCTTTGACTTTTTTGCTTGTTTGCTTTGCTTTTTTTTGAAGCAGGGTCTAATGTAGCTGAGGCTGACCTTGAACTTCTGATCCTCCTGTCTTTACCTCCCTGGTGCCAGGTATTACAGGCCTGTGCTGTCACACCAGCTTATATGATACTGGGGGTCCAACTCCATAGATTCTAGGCAGGCACTTTACCAGCTGAGCTACACCCTGTCTCAGAGAGACAGAGATAGATGATGGATGGATAGATGGATGGATGGATGGATGGATGGATGGATAGATGGATGGATGGATGGATGGATGGATGGATAGATGGATAGATAAAGGAAGAAAGAAAGAGAAAAAAGAAAGAAGGCAAAGAAAATCCTAAAAAGAGACTTTGAGTCACGTATGATGGCTCACTCCTGTAAATCCAGCACTCAAGATTTGAAGCAGAATTACCAAGAGTTCCAGACTCTCTCTCAATACAACAAATAAAACTCTGCTTTCCACTGGACATTGGTGGTGCACACGTTTAGTCCCAGCACTCAGGAGGCAGAGGCAGTCAGATCTCTGTGAGTTCGAGGCCTACAGAACTCCAGGACAGGCTCCAAAGCAATACAGAAAAACCCTGTCTCGAAAAACCAACAAAACAAAACAAAACCTCTGCTTTCCTCGAGTCTACCTGCCCTTAAGCCCTGTCTTACAATATTTCATTGTTCCCCATAAGAGGGAACAGGAACAGCCATCCCTAAGGGACCCCTCTGCTGTCATAGCTGGGCCAAAGGTGATTGGCCTCCAGTAAATGTGTAAATCAGCCCAGGCCCAAGTCAGTCAACCTCCACACATTGAGGGAAGCCATGACAGTACCTCCGGTCCTAGGTCTGCACAGCAGGAGAAAAGCCCCATGCTCTGGCTTCTCCTGCTCAACCCACGTGTTCTGAAATCAGACACAAAATTCGAAATGCTAAATTCCATATCTGGGCTCAGGGGTTAAAAGCACTGACAGCTCTTGCAGAGGATCCAAGTTCGGGTCTCAGCATCCACATGGCAGCTCACAGCCACCTGTAACTCCAGTTCCAAGGGATCTGACTCAGTCTTCTGGCCTCTTGTGGGTACCAGGCTCCCACATGTATACAGAAACATATAAAGGTAAAGTACCCATACACTTAAAAAATGTTTTTAATTAAGAGAAGGAATAACTTTCACAACTTTCAAAGTTTAAGATTGTATCTAAGCAAAAAGGTCTGGGAATGTGGCTCAGTGGCCAGGTGGGTGCTTAGCAGAGAAGACACCCTGGGTTTCTCCCCGGACCAATAAATAAATAAATAAATAAATAAATAAATAAATAAATAGGTAAGTAATTAAATGGATCACAGTGGAGGATGATCAGAGTTGGCCCCAATTCCTTTAAGAAACTAGAAGATTAAACACAACTTCAAAAAGGACAGTTTCTCAGCTTGTCCTGGCTGCAGTCAGGGCATAATCTCTCCTCTTCTTTGCAACCCCCCCCTCTCTCTCTCTGTTCTTTTTGAGACAGGTTTCACTATGTAGCCTTGACTGCCCTGGAACTCGATCTGTGATCTGTAGACCAGGCTGGCCTCGAACTCAGAGATCAGCCTGCCTCCCGTGTGCTGGGACTAAAGGCTGGATTAATCCTTAAAGTGACTACACCCCCACTTGTCTGGGTAGACAGATCTGGAGGGACCAAGGCTAAGGAAATGATCTCCATTTCCAAATGCTAGGAAATCGAAACTATATTATTTATTTATTTATTGGTTTGGTTTAGTGGCCCTGGCTGTCTTGGAACTTTTTTATCTCACAGAGATCCGCCTGCCTCTGCCTCCTGAGTACTAGGATTAAAGGTGTCCAGTTTATCTATTTACTCTTATTGCAATTACTTACTTAATTGGGGGGGTGAGGTGCACATGCCACAGGACTCATTTTCAGGTCAGAGGGGACCTCAGACTTTTGGGGCTCATTTTTCCTTCCACAATGTGAATCACAGAGTTCAAACTCAGGTTGTCAGGCTTGGGTGACAAGTGCCTTTACCCACTGAGCCATCTTGCCAGCACAACCTTGGGACTCTTAGAATGTTATAAGAGAGCTTCAGATTGTTGGTTCATTCCCTTTATTTGGCAGATGAAAAGGCTGAGCTTGACCATTGACAGACAGGGTAGAATGGTGGTGACCAAAGGTTGGCACCGGCAGCAGGGTGGGGGTGGAGTTACTGGTTAAGGGATGGGAAAGATGAAAAGATTCTGAAGATGCATGGTGGGAACAGCGGCTGCCTAACAGAGTGAAAGGACTGGAGGACGCTGAATTAGCCTCTTACATATTTCAAAATGGTTAAAATATTAATTTTATGTATGTTTTTACAATATAAGAGAAGAAGGTAAGCTCAGAGTCCAAAGCCAAGATTGCAAACAGTATGCACCTGCCATGGCCTGCAAGCTCCCTCCTGTCTCTTTGTGACACTCCCCCCCCCCAATTTCTCCAAGGGCCCCATCCCTGGGCCACTCCTTGGAGGCAGTCCTGCCCATGCCCTTTTGCTTATCTAGGGGAGTGACCTTCCTTTGAGTTTCTCAGGGGAAAAGGGGTTTAAGAGCCAAAACTACGCCCTATGAGCCATTTCCCAAAACAGCCACTGGTTGGAAGACAGCAAGGAAAGTGAGAGGGGAATGAAATGTCTGCTAAGATCCGGTCCTACACCCAGCCAGCTACTGGCTGCCCATGTCCTGCCTTCCTTCCATGTCACCCTCTGTGCACATACAATGTTTCTGGATATTCTGTCAGCCGTCCCTGGGTGATCATTCCAGGACTCTTGGGGAATAAAAGAGACCCTGGGAGCAGGACATGTGTGGCACAATAACAGCACACACAGATTGACTCTCTAAGTCCCCAGGCCAGCCCAGGCCAACAGCACATGGGTGGTTAAAAATGAAAATTCTTCAACCTAAAGGCCTCAAATATTCAGGGCTGGGAATGGATCAGAAAATCTGAGTTTTAACAAATCTTGAGAACCTAGAATCTAGTCCATTCCCTCAATTCACAGACAAGGTGACTATGTTGGTTACTTTCATATCGCCTTGTCACAAGCTAGAGTCATTTGGGAAGAGGGACTCGCAGCTGAGAACACACTTCCATTTGATTGACTATAGGCAAGTACTTTCTTGATTAATGATTGATGTGGGGGGCCCAGCCCACTGTGGGTGGTGTCAACCTTAGGCAAATGGTTCAGGTTCTATAAGAAAGCAGGCAGAGCAAGCCATGAGGAGCAAGCCAGTAAAGTAAGCACCACTCCTCCATGGCCTCTGCATCAGCTCCTACGCCAGGTCCCTGTCCTGTTAGAGTTCCTGTCCTGACTTCCCTCAGTGACAGACTATGTTGTACAAATGTAAGCCAAATAAACCCATCCCCATCCAAGTTGCTTTTAGTCATAATGTTTTGTTTTGTTTTGGTTTGGTTTGGTTTTTTGAGACAGGGTTTCTCTGTAGCTTTGGAACCTGTCCTAGAACTTACTCTGTAGACCAGCCTGGCTTCAAACTCACAGAGATCCACCTGCCGATGCCTCCCAAGCACTGGGATTAAAGGCATGTGTCACCACCACCTGGCTTGGTCATAATGTTTTATCCCAGCAATAGAAACCCTAACTAAGACAGTTATGGAAGTCTTGAAATGTTCCATGACTTCACCAGGATGACTCGGTGCCCGGGTCACACAAAGATTCAAATTTTAACTACTAGGATAGGTAAAGTTGGATTCTCCAATGGATCTGGTGGTGACTGGAACCCAAGTCAAGACAGATGGACAGTAGAGAGGATGAGAAGCATGAGGACAATTTGCCCCAGAGAGCAGCCACTTTCGTGTAGTCTGCTTTCCTTGGAAGGTTAAAGCTTCTCATTTTTCTTGTTCATCCTCTTTTTCTTTCTAAATTATTTTTTTAAACTTTATGTGTATGGGTGTTTTGCCTCAATGTATGTCTGTGTACCATGTGTATTTCTGGTGCCTCTGGTGGCCAGAAGGTGGTGTCAGATCCCCTGGAACTGGAGTTACAAATGGCTGTGAGCCACCATGTACACACTGGGAACCAAAGACCATCCCTCTGCAAGAACAACCAGTGTTCTTAACTGTTGAGTGGTCTCTCTGGTTCCTCATTCTTTCTTCTCTCTCTTTTTCTCTCTCCTTCCCTCTATCTTTTAAAGGCAGGTAGTATGTAGCCTAGTATTCTTGAACTTGATATGTAAGCAATGGTGACCTAAATTTTTGATTTTCCAGACTCTACCTCCTCTGTGCTGAGATCACAGGCATGTACCGCCATGCTCAGCATCTCGTCATTTCTTTACATGTTAATTGGTCTTTGGTAAGCAGTTACATAAATCCCCACCCTCCAATTTCCTTTTTGAGTCATTCCTAGCTGAGATTTCCTCTGCATTAACCTAGTTTGTTTATCCCTTGTTGGTCTGTCTCATTTCATTTGCAAAGCCTAGGCAGAAACCAGAAACCCAAAAGTATAAAGGGAAAGAACTATTCTACCAGCTCCTTCCCCGCCAACAAAGACAATGCAACTAGGAATGTGGAATCTAGCTCTTGGTGCTTAGAGGCATATTTTGTGATCTTGGTTAAGTGTCTTACACTGTCTGTGCCTCTGTATTCTTAATGGTGATTGTAGTGGGAGGGAAAGAGTCAGACCCTAAGAGTTGATGCTCTTCTGGGCTTTTTCCCCTGACCACTCTCAAGGCCCCATCAGTGATTCTAGCGTGGAACCTCCCACTCGGAGAATCAGGGCCCCTCACTCACTAGGATTGACCTTCCGGATCTCACTGTACACCGTCTCTGTGGCTC